TTGTAGTTCTTGAAAAGGGATTTTTTTTAAACGAAATATCTCCCTTTGGAGTAGACTTTGAGATTTGTAACTTTGTAGTTTTTTTTTTTTTGTCCCCAAACATAAACACTATACACTTACTAAAATTCAAAAAGTGAAAAAGCATAATAGGACCCCTTTAATGTTTCTGTTGTTGTTTTTCCTGAATGAAGTCACGTCTTGGAGCATGATGTCATTAAAGTTAGACTAAAAGATGGAAAGTGATATTGAGGACACTGGAAACACCTTCAAATTGCCAAAACATTTCAATTAGAGGCAGGAAAAAAGAAAAAAAAAAAAATTATATATATATATAGATTATAAAACCACACACAAACAGACCGAAGTACCAGCACAATATATATATATATAGTGATAAAACTAATAATTTCCATTTTTAAAAACTGTGCATTTAAATAATTTGACAAAAATACATACCCAGCTAAAAAAAACTGTTTTAAGAACATTTGGCTAATGTTCCCTTTAAGTTATGAAAACTTTATTTCTGAATGTTCTCACAATTTTTTAAAATGTTTTTTTTTTGTTTAACGTTTTGCAAACATTTTATAATTGTACAAATATTTTGAATTTTCTCAAGCAGTGTCATTTATAAAAATAAAAAATCTAAATGTTCCATGAACGATTTATACGAACATTCCACTGATGTTATTGGAAGAACATTTGTTCATAATTTTAAGAGAACCTTTCCAGAACTTTAGCCAGAGTTCTGAGAAAGGTCCTTGTTAGCTTGGTAGAGAAATATTAAGTTTTAAGGTAGGAACGACTTTCATAATCATGTAATGTATTGTACAGGTGAAATGTGTCTTACCTCATCAGCACATTCAAAACTGTTAGAACACTTCTGCTCACTGTCCTGTGAAAATAGAAATAATTAATATTATTAGCATCATGTGACCATAACCTGCATACTATACTGTTCGGTGTTAATTGTGTATGGCTGCCCTCCATTCATCATTCCATAGCAATTTACTGTACATAATTTCAGTCCTGGGTTTAAAAAAATACATAGACTAAGCTGTAGTAGAACTGTGTAATATGGATGTTAAAGTTGATTGTTACTTAGCTTATACATTATTAAGAGCTTAATATGAAGAGACTGTAAATCATCTGTAGTTTGGTTCCCCTGAGAAGGGTAAACTGTGGTACTTTCAAATAGCTAGACACAACAACATTGTCTCAACCAATGGCATGCAGGTCTGTTTGGCTGACCAATGACAGATGGGGGTGCAGACATTACAACCCTAACCCTTAAATACTCAGTAAATGAGAAAAATCAGTTGATTGTACTGAAGATGGAAATTATGTGGCCAGTCGTTTCACTTCTGTGCAAAATGTCACTCATATCAACTTCAAAGTGCTTTGAGCAGGTGTTTTTTCTCGTGCTATAAAGCAGAATAAATGCATTAGATACTCTAACACTTGAAAGCTATGACACGTATGCAAACACTTAACATGTTCAAGAAGTTCTCAGCTGGTTATGGTTTGTTAGCTACAAAACAATTATAAACATAACACCTCATCTTTGCGAGAAAAAAACAACAACAAATGCAGCCTCTTTGATGTAAAACCATAATTAAGAAGATTTACGAAAAATCGCACAATGGTTTGCTTGATTGATTCTTTGAATTGCTTTTCCCACAAGGAACATGCAAAGTTTTAGAGCTGTTTATGGTTCAGAAGGCAGTGCAGTAAAATGCAATAGTAAGAAAGAAAGAAAGCATGGAATCACTTTTTTTTTTAACGATAAAACACTGACTTCAGAGGACTTACAAGCTGCTTGAAACGAAAGCAAACAAACAGAAACCCAAGCAGAACTTCACAGGGAGGGTAACATTAATAAGCATTATTAATAACTGATAGTTTCAGTGCCCTATTTAACAGTGCAGTCAAATCCCAGGCTGCATCAGGAAATGGATTCATCTCAGAAAACATGAATTTCTTTTTGTACCCATCTGTAAACATTCCATGGCGAATTCGCTAAACAGATGTGGCCATTTTACGCCCACAATATTTCAACACAAAAACCTGTATACTGTATATTCATCCACCACCTGTAATCCAGTTTAACCAAGTGCTCTCTGCTCCTTTGTAGCAACATAAGCAACAAAATCCCGTTATTCTTTTGTGATGTCGTGCTTTCAGTGTTGTAAATATATTGTTCCTGAAGAAGGCTGGGTATTTTGTCATATTTAATAGAATCTTGAGCAGTTCCAGTAATCTTTCTGCTAATTTATCCATCTGTTTGGATAGAAAGCAGCCCTTTTGTTTCAGCATCTGTCCAATTTCACAACATTTCTTTCCACAATGTAGATAATCATGTTTTTCAAACGTTTTTCTTCATGTGGACAATTGGTTCTGTTCACACACGACCTTTAAACACAAAAAAATGCAGTTAAATTTATGGAAAACCTGCATTTGTGAAAGCACCGATTGTCATTCTATTCAGCAGAAACATGCCTTCTTTTTATGCAACTATACCAATTTTCTACTTCAAAATAAAATGTTGCCATGGGTGGAATAGCATTTGAACAGAGATTCAGCCAGCACAATTATCAAGTAAAGCAATCTTGAAACAAACAAAATCTGATGTGTTATGCCTGACAATGTCCACCCTAAAATGTCCAAAGTGGACTTTTTTGTGGCTAAAATTGCACTCTCAGAAAAAATAGGTGTACAACAGCTTGTCACTGGGGCTTCAAAGGAACCTTGGTACCCTTTTTACTGCTAAAGGATTCATAATGGTACCATAAGAGTACATATTACTATTCTAAGGTATTAATATGCACCCTTTAGGGGTAAAGCTATTGTACCCCTAAAAGTATAATTTTTGCAGATTTTTCTGACAGAGTAGCAAATCATTCAAATCATGATATATACTGTATATGTATCAGGTGAAAAACTGACTATTTTTTTCCCCGTTTTATGGACAACTGGAATATTTGCAATGAGATACACACATAATCAGAGACTTGACATTTTTGAGTATGGCTGCTTATTCAATCAACACATTCCAAACTCTAAAATTCTTACCGCGTGCGCGAGTTCAATACATTCAACTTGTAAACGCACCAAGTAATCGAGTAGATACAAGCAGCCATGTCAGATAACCACTTATCACAGATTGACTGTTGCCTCCTACGACAGTTGCCGGAGACATCAATTAAAATTGTTATTTCCCGCACGACTCTATGATATTTCTGTCTGTGGAGTTTTTATAATTTGTTTCAGCATGGATGAGAGAGTACAGTCATTTTCTTCAGTACCCAGGGGCTTATAACTGAATCCTCAGGACTTAGGACAGAGCTGCGAGGCACGATAGGATGGAAGTCATATCTCTATAATGCAGGTCCTTTCAAACTTAAATTAGCTGACAAATTAGTGTTTGTGATGACATCACTCATTTACATAGGATTACATAGCTTCCTGTATGCAAGACAAATCATACTAACATCCTTGAAATCAATGCGACAATCAACATACACTATTGTGACGAGTGGGGGCGGGGCCGAGAGCCGTGGGAACGGAGCGAGGCCGGTGGAGTGATTGCTAATGAGGGACACCTGCACCCACTCACCGGTCTCGAGTCTCACGGAGGAGCTCCGGAAGGATAAAGGAGGAGTGACTACAGTGTTGGACGAGAGAGGACCAGGCCTGGATTTTATTTTGTGTTTTGGTTTCGTTTGTGCGCGACAGTCGTCCGCGAGGGGCTGTCGCGCTATTTTGTGGTTATTTTATCATTAAAGTTTCGTTGAATGTTCGCCGGTTCCCGCCTCCTTCTTCCCGTGACTAAGAACTGTGTTACAACTATCTAGCTGAGTATAGAGACAGGATTTTCATGGGCCAGATTCAAAACTTAATCTTCCATCTGAGCACCAAGGCTCAATATTTCATGATTTTCAGGTATTACAGACCTCGTTGATGTGGACAGCCATGCTGCAGGTCCGCTCTAAACGGCCTCTGCATGAGCTGACAAATGCTCTCAGTTTATGAATTATTCACCTACATACTGAATTATACAAAAGTGTTTTACCTTCCACTAGACACTCTGCATATCTTCAGGTAAAACATGATTTATAAAAAAATTTCCCACAAAGAGGAATTCTGCTTCCCTCAGTTATTTTAACGATTGTAATAGTTGGTGTCCTTAAGGTCTGGCCTAGTTTTAAGGGGGAGTTTAATGGAATTTGTGTGTTTTGCTTTTGTACATGCACAAAGCAGCCATACAGGTTTTAGCACTGATCTTGACATTCAGGGCAATTCAGGACTATCCAAATTGAATGTGGGCTTACAGAAATACTAGCACTATTTCCCATTACACTAACAAAAAAGGAGTTTCCAGGAGAATATTGGGTAATGAATGTGTTTTATTAATTTAAAAGTGAACTGTGCTATTTCTGTGCCACTTGCACAAGGGTTGCCAGATCTGTGTAACCAATCCAACCCATTGAACAATCAAGATTAGCCCAATGACCATTGAAACTATTGGGGTAAAGAAAGTAATCTCAATGACAAAAAGTGTCCCAATTTATCTAGATTCACCCCTACTATGTAAAAAAGATTTTTTGAAGTTGTAAATAGATGATTATTGGAGTATGTTTTAAAAGAAAATACTTTGTCTACTTAAAAATTTAGCATTTAATTCAATTGCTATTTGCCATTTCTTTGTAATTATTTGTGAAATTTACTAGTAATTTCTGAGTTAAAAATGGTTTCTACACCAAGATTTTTCAGTGTAGCCCAAAAACTAGCCCAAATACCATAACTAAAAATATGCAACTCCCACACCTAGAATACATACTGAAAGGTAGGAAATACTTGAAATCACTGTATAGTACTAATCATGAATGCAGTCTGTTTTCATTAGGGATGGGTACCGAAACCCGGTATTTAATCGGTCCCGGGGCTAAATTATGAAAGACCGGAGTATCGATAAGCTCTGACGTTAACGGTTCTGCTATCGGTACTGGAGAAATTAAGAAAACACATATACATTTATTATTGCTATATATACATTATATTGCAAATTCTATCTCACCAGAGTTGCCAGCTGTTTTTCAAACATTTGTCTATGATGCATTTTTGCTATTCACAATTCAGAAGCGAGATCGCGCTCACGCGGAGGAGCTTCAGCACGCGCAACATGAAAGCCCTGTTTAATTATGATAGAAGAGAGAACTAAACATTCAAACATCTGCTTACACTTTAGGCCTGTGGCTGTTATATTAAGCTGATTTAATTTTTTTATTTCGATTTTGGCTTCTAAGGATTATACAAAAGAAGACATGAGGTAAAGCTATTAAAAACTAGCTGCGTTTCGTATTGCGCAACTTCTTTCCCGTCACAGCGGTGCGCATTCGTTCCTCCCTAAAACCCGAGTAGTAATACCATTAAAACCTTAACGATACCCATCCCTAGTTTTCATAAACAAAATCATCTTAAGATTGACAGCTAGTGAACAAATTCCTTTGCTGTGGGTGGTAATCTTTTTTTTTTTTTTTAACCATTTGAAAATTAAATACCGGTATTAATCTCTATTTAAAATCTTGTTCTGATGCTACTCTTTTCTGGTCTTTATCATACAGTACATAACTCTACAGGCTCTGATGTCATCAACTAGCAGAATTTTAGCATTGGTAGAATATAAATTGGGTAGAGTAAAATAATCCAATACAAGCATTCTGAAATATAATTAACACAATGTTGAACCTTTAACCTGGGGGGGAAAATCAACCGACAGCAACCGTTTAAAAGTAAAGGCCCTCTGTCTGCTATTGGCTAGTCAAACATATAGCACCACCCCAAACTCACACCATTGGTTGAGCTGTTGCTGTGTCAGGCTGGTTGGAATTCTCAAACAAACAATGTTTTGAAAACACCTCAGCATGTCAGTGTTTGCACTTTTCTAATGAAATCATCCTACAAATAGCTTACTTATAATTGTCTCGGCATACTGCACTCTTAGAAAAAGGTACAAAGCTGTCACTGGGGTGGTGTCCTAAAGTTCAAAAGCTAAAGGTATATATTTGTACCTTATTTACCCTTAAATGGTACATATTAGTACCTAAAGTGTACATATAAGTAAGTAAGCCTTAGTAACAGTCTTGTACCTTTTTCTGAGAATGTAGGTTAAACTGGAATAGGAAAAACTATTTTAATATTTAATAATAAAAATGGCATACTTCATCTTTAAATTCCTTCATTTTTTAGCTTTGGATTCACTGGGTAATAATATAACACAATGCAGTGAACGACAACAAATTTTTAGACCTACCTGAAGGTTGGCGCATGTGGAGAAAACACATGCCCTGTCAATTTGCTTGACATCATTTGAGTTGATGACATGTTTGGTGATGATAGCCGGTTGCAGATTGGTCCGTACTGATGGGACTGCTGACTGAGACTCAGTGATGGGAACTAGACCCGCATCCGTGCCATAACCGAATGCCTGGATAGCATTTCCTGCACACCGAAACACACACACACACACACACACACACACACACACATGCAAATAAAAACATGAATGAAAAAGCCATGAAATTTTCATGTGGCAAAAAAAAAACCCTCAGCAAAAGAGATCACATGCCCGTAAGGCATAGCATTTCTCATTAATGTGCTATTTAGGTTAAGCCCATAAGGATGGCTGTTCAGGCCGTGAGGTTACGTGAGGTTTCATCTCCACTCACTCAAGCAAGTGTTCTCTCTGAAGTCTCGGAGGAAGGCCTCGCACTCAGCTTCATGATTTCCACTGCCTCGACAGCCACACCAAGGGGAAATAGTGATGTTGGTTTGGCTCGCATCCACATAGTTTGGAGTCACATCTGATCCTGTAAGGCCAAGGGTAGAGATTCTCATAAATATTCATTAGGTGGGAACATGTTGGTTTATAGATCTCGCTGTCTGGAGTATAATGTGCTGTTTGGCCAAGTATAATGGCCAGAGGTTGTTGGTCTGCTCTCTTTTAGAGGTCCGTTTGTTCACAGCACGACTGGATTTTTAACCCTCCAGGATTCATTTCAGGTAAAAGGCTAAAAGGATGCAATTTAAAATTTTCTCTGATGGTTTGCAGGCCTAATTTACACAGCAGAAGTAGTAATTATTTCAGATTATTTTATGTAAATTGTCAAAAAGACATATATATATATTATATTAGGGGTGTATAACGGTTCACAAAATTAACGGTTCGGTTCGATACGACACAGTGGTGTCACGGTTCGGTGACACCACTGTGTCTCAGTCAATTCACTATAAGCAGAAAGTGAAAGTAAAAACGGAATGACGGAGTAATGAAGGAGCTTTCGGCATCTATCGCTGCATATTCTCTCAGAGACGACGAGAGACCAATCTACTTCAACATATGCTGATAACGGTATATAGCTAACTGTTTTCATTTATTCCCTTAATATTTCTCTTGTGACCCATACATAGTGAAAAAAAAGACAAGAAACGTATTTTGTGTTAAACAGGTTGTTTTTGAAAGTTGGTGCTTGAAATATGCTAAATATTTTTATTCATTGATTTTAATTTATGACTGCTGAGTTAATATTTTAATTATAGGCCTATACTTCATTGTATATAGACCTGTTTTAAAATATATATTTTTTACATTTTTAAATATAATCCTAATCATTCAATAGATTAGGAGTTAATATCTTAATCTTTTGTTATCCTCGCAGCGCGTCAGTTATGTGGTAGCTAATATTGCGGGGCAAATTCATTGTAATTTTAATTTAATAATAAAAGTAACTTCATAATAATAATAATAGTCCTAATAAAAATAAGAATGTAACAGGCCTACATTGATTGGAAATGCCAAATCCTCTTAATATTGCCAATAAATAATCGTTGATACGACATCATCGTCTTTCGACGCACCCCAGCAAGAGGAGGTTATCGCGGGGCCTTTTGCAGTGCGTGTCCTGCGTGCCCGTCCACTAGACAGCACGTTGCCTGTTACGGCGTTTGCGCTGCCTTGTTGAGCACAGTGGCACTGAGAACATTATATTTCACACACTTAAAGCTCTTTTAGTTTCCATATGTAATAGGATTAGTCCAACGAATCGTTCGGTTTGTAATGCGTACCGAACCGAAAGCCACATACCGAACGGTTCAATACGAATACGTGTATCGTTAGCTGAATTGAGGCAGTAATTAAAGCAAAAGGAGCCCCTACCAAGTATTGAGTACATGTACAGTAAATGAACATACTTTCCAGAAGGCCAACAATTCACTAAAAATGTTTTTTTTTATTGGTCTTATGAAGTATTCTAATTTGTTGAGATAGTTAATTGGTGGGTTTTTGTTAAATGTGAGCCAAAATTATCACAATTAAAAGAACCAAAGACTTAAACTACTTCAGTCTGTGTGCATTGAATTTATTTAATACACAAGTTTCACAATTTGAGTTGAATTACTGAAATAAATGAACTTTTCCACGACATTCTAATTTATTGAGATGCACCTGGATATTTGCGGACAATCTTTCTTTTGAACAATTTTACATGTTGCCTTTATCAGGCTGTATAAATATAGTACATAATTTATGTATAAAATATAACTTATAAATATAATTTATATGTAGTGGCTTTTAAATTTTAGGAAAAGGGACTCCAAGGGGATTGTTTTATTTGGGGTCGTTGGCTTCAAAACATTTGAATATCCCTTGACTTCATCTGTTCTCCTGTTCTTTATAATCTTTCTTGAAATAAAATTCCTGATGCATCACTAATTAAAACAGCTAAAGAAGGCAAAATACATGTTCCAAAGAGTCAGTCCATTAAAATGCAATTCCAAATTCTTATTATTGCCGTGCAGCAGATTTTTCTCATAATCACTCACCAATGAGTCCAACGTAGGACACCAGACAACCGCGGTAGTTATCATTAGGACAGATTGTTATTGAATGCGGTGTCGTCTGGCAATTCATGTGGAAGTCTGCCAGCCTGGATCTAGTCCAAAAACAAAGCAAATTATAGAATTTAAGAGGCCTGAAACATTTTTAGCACATTCGACTGAATAGGATTTAGATGCACGCTTGAATAAGCTACTAGTCTTTCTATATTTACAAAGCACGATTACAGTACATGACGCTGAAGAAAGGATGGATTTTCATATTCTCAAATAACGCCGTCTGCACCTTCTGTCTTATCTGCTCCAAGAGTCACACGCTTTTGGATCAAGCTATAAGGGAAGATTTATTCTAACAGTTATTTATCACCACAGCTGCATCCGCTATCATCAATGCTCTAATATCCAAGACCAAAACAATACGCAGCAGTGAATGTGCAATATGAGATGCGTTCTGTCAGGCCTAACTAGTGTCTGGTGGGGTTCCAATTCAAGGCCATTTTCTGCTCGACTCCATGTGGTATTTCTCTAACTCAAGCAATCTGCCTCAAACAGCCTCTTCCTAGGGGGTTATGTGCATTCAGAAACAGATTGCTCCAAGCACTAGACCTGAGGTGGGCAGGGGGTCACATTAGTACTTATTCTTGAGTATGAACTCTCTGCCCTAGCACTTTACAGACACATAAACTCGGAATAATAGCTCTGCGCATCCTTCCCTCACATAATGCCGGCGAGATGGAGATCTCAGGCTCGCTGCCCTCCTGTGAGACCTTGATTAATAGTGAATCATCCTACATGGCAGTATGGACCCCTGACTCACCAACTCAGCTACGGTGTGAATATTAACCGAACCGTTCTTGCTGTTGGGTCCACAGGTGTTGCCTGGGTGTTTACCTCCCAGAACAAAGAATGGTGTCTGCATCGCTCTTATGGGTTCTTGCCGAAAAGGTCATCCTTTCTACTCTGCTTTATTGACATGGAAATGGATGTTCCTCTGATGCTTTTTGTGCCGTATTTTCACCCCAAGCTTTATCTCTAGATAAGCGCTGCCGTGACTCACGGCAAAAAAGGCAAAGGCATGAAGGTGTTTGAAATCAGCAATCAAGGAGCGATGCATGCTGATGAGACTGCAATCCAAAGTGGACCGCTCTGAAAGGGCGAACTGAAGTGCTCCCAAATTATGGCACTAGCAGTTCAAAGATATTACTCAATTATTTAAATTCCCAACTACATCATAGATTCATTTTTAACAGAGCTGGAGTGGAAGACCTTGCTAACATAGTGCAACTAGAGGAGACTGTGGAAAAATGTCACATGGGGTCAGCTGTAACAGTCAGTTTAACCAATTAGAAATAAGCTACACTATCATTCATACATAATCACCAGTGTCCAAAGATGACACACAAAGACTGCACAAAATGGGACATTTGGATAAGCTAAAAAAAAAAGTTTCCACAAAAATATGAAGCAGCACAACTGTTTTCGGCTTAATAAGAAATATGAATAATATTATTAATAATAATATTTCTTGAGCAGCAAATCAGAATTATTTCTGAAGGATCATGTGACACTGAAGACTGGAGTAATGATGCTGAAAATTCAGCTTTGCATCACAGGAATAAATTATATTTAAAATATATTAAAATAGAAAACAGTTAATTTTATTAACATTTCACAATATTATTGTTTTACTGTATTTTCGATCAAATAAATGTAGAAGATTACAAAACAAATGAAAAGACAAATATGAGAATCAAAAAGCACAAACAAACAAAAATACTACTTTCTGGTCACCCAGTTTTTCTCAGGATCCTGGCAAAATCTTATTTTTTAATCTTATCTTATTGAAACAGCATGATTTTTAAACTAACATATGCTAAGTTATTTTAGGGCCGCTGAAAGAAAGTTTACTGTGAATTCAACATGCCACCTCACTTAGCTCAAGTTCTATGCAAAGATCATGAATATTCTATCAGTCTACCATCATGATTCAACCCCATGAACTTACACAGCCATGTCCTGAAGCAGATACGTGAAGCTCGTAGACGTGGCAGTAAATACTCTTGAAAAAATTGAATGTGGAGTTTTTGCCTTAAGGAGCTTTTTCTACTGCATCCAACCCTTAAAATTACTCTCATTCTCTGAATCCAATGTATTCAGGTCTTTTTTACTAACATTCATTTATTTGATTTGAAGAAAACAAGTTAAATGCGAAGTGTGTAATTTCACCGAACAAAACAATGATTGTTTTCAAACATGTTTCTAAAACACTTCCCCACCTGCCATTGGTCAACCAAACAGATAACCCCGCCCCCAAACTCACACTATTGGTTGAGCTGTTGCTGAGTGAATCTCAAAGAGAGATATTGAAAGAAACGGTTTTTTTTTTATTGACAACAAACCTTCAAATGACTATTTTCCTGCAAATTAGGTAGGGATTAGAGAGCATATTTTAATATCCAAAATGACAAAGCATTTTAAGAGTTTGACACTTCCTCAAATTATCCACTTGACACTGGTTGCAAGTTGAACTCACAACACTTCAAATATGAAAATCCATTTGAAATCTGGATGTATTATCATAGAAAATAACAAATAATTTGCTCAAAAATATGTTAATTAAATGAGAGAGCTGTGTTGGGTCTGAGGAACTTCCTACAGATTCATAATATTGTATGATGAGGTTTGAGTTTTTGGCAAAGCAGAAAAGGTGCACATGGACTGTCTTGTTTTTCTGTTAGACCAGGAACATAATAACGATGCTGGCCTAAATTAAGGAATCCCTCAGTGGAGCTGATGATTTACATTGTTAATTACATTCTGGCTGGCTCAAGGAGGCAGAAGGGTGGGAGATGTGTAAATGAATGCACCTGGTAACAGGTTTGCAGGGCTGGAGTGTTAAACCATCATCATCAGCATTAACGTTACCTGCTCCCCCCAGGAGACATCATGAGCCCGCTATGTCATTCAGGGACATCTCTAAACGGATGTCACCCTCTCGATGCCAAACATCATGTGCATAGAGTTAGTCAGACCTGTGGCGACTTGCAGATGATGAACAAGTGTTACCGAAAAATAATTACAGGGTTTGGTTTTTCATTTTTTACTTTGAAGCTAGCTGGTCTAAGCTGGTCAAACTGATTTAATCAGCAATCCTGTATCAATTAAATTAACACATTTCAAATGTGCTGTTTTATATTTGGTCCAGTTTATTCATAGTTGTGCTAAATCTAACAATGGTCTAGATGCTTTATACTCATGAATTGCCACAGATGTAGTCTTATGCAGTGTAGCAACTAAATAAATGTAGAAACACTACTAATTTACCTATATTTTTCAGTAGCCCTAAATGAGATGGTTTATGTACCCAATAAAACTGCTCTGATTGTAAAAATATATTATTCCTGCTAAATCCATCTTAAGCTGGAAGCTGTTATTTGGAACATGGTATCTGGTATCGTTAGCCCGTAAACGTGTTCCAAAACTAGCTTGACCACCTTCGGCTGATATGGCCATCTAGTTTTGTTGATGGTCTTGGACAGTCTAGCAGCTTACACTAGCTAATGACTATATTAAAGCCTATTGGGTCTAATTTTTTGCATGCAATTTGTCTGTTCAAACCAATGTGTTAAAAAAAGATGATGAATTATTATACAGTCTTATTCTCTGACAGTAGGTGGCGCTTTTAGAAAAGCAGAAATACCCTGGGTTACATAATACTCAACTCTACATAATATAGTGAGCTTTTAATACAGTAATACAATAAGTTTTTAATCAAGCAACTCGTTCTAGTTCTAAAGTGAAGTTTTTGAATTAGTAACAGAGGCTTGGGCTCAACTGGTAAACTGTCAAATTGTGATTTGAATCCGTGGTGTAAGGAAGTAGTTCTGCACAAAAGAGGGTTTTTAAAGACACTTCGTTGTTTCTTATGTATGTACACACTTGTGCCATCGAACTGTTGTATAAACGCAAAATATCACACTCGTAGCCGTGCACTATGGCTGTATATCGGCATATCACACTGCTACTCATATAAAATTGCTCATTTATTTTGAAAAAGACTATGTCTTGTTTTAATAGTTTTAACATTGTTAGCTACTTTTTGTTAGTATCTTTTCAAAAAAGAGTTACTTTACAATAAATTTACTGCTTTGCCCAGTAGTTTTGGTGTTATATAGTGACACCTAGTGGTTTGGATGATGCAGTTTGTTTAGCTGCTGCCACCTCACTGCAAAACAGTTTGATTTGTTATTAATTCGGTCTCAAATGGTGAATCACATACATGCTGATCAATACTCTGGTATATATTATATTGAATCTGTATTTGTAGTATATTGCATTTGTTGTTTTTGTTTAGTCTTAGTAACTACTATGTTTACTGTAAAGAGCACTAGCTAAAAGCTCTATATAAAACAAAGTATTATTATTATTAGTAACAGTACCTTGCAAGGCTGGTCATATGATGTAAACATTGTGCAGCCCATTGGGGGAGATCCACTTCATGAAGAATAAGCAACTAATATATCTGAAAGTCTAAGAATAAATCTTTATCCTTTCATTGACATTTCTGTTTAATGTTAATTTCTTTAAGCAAAACATTTTTTAAACTTTAACAAAATTACTGAGTGTACCATTAAGATGACAAATGTGTTTCATTCTTCAGCAGCGAATCATGGCAGCCCACTCATTTCCTAACTGGAGTGTTTATCACTGATGATTTAGGAACAGATGGATGGGGTGCTTGTCCTCTTTATACTCTGGCCTCGGCCCAGCGTGGATATCCGCAAACAACAGACAAGCACGTACTCGGACAAACAGAGCATCAAGGCCAAATATTTCAGGCAGGCTATGTCTCTTTCTGTTTCTACAGTTCATTTGAAAATGGTCCTTCAGCTGTTAGGAAAGATCTCATTATACTTCAACTTTAACATGTCCACAGAGTTTCTGAACATCTCCTGACTGTGCTCGAATAATAAGTCCATATTGTACATATTTTCGTTTGGGAATTTCAGACTTGGAGTCTTTAGCTGTTAAATAAAAGGGAGGCACTGTTTTTAAACTCTAAACTTGTACCTATTTTTAATGTGATTTATTTCCTGCGACTGCATGTGTGTGCAAATTTTTACGCTTGTGTGGTTAAATTAGCATCTTCTAAGAAGTCCGGGGGTCCAGCGGGATTCAGGACCATGACCATGAAGTCTAAGCAACAAGACCATGAATCATTTACACAACTCCTGAAGGCACACTGAATCTAATATCCATGTCACCTGACTCAAATAAGAGTCCACGACTGGCTTTTTCTGCTTTCAAGCTTAAGCCAAAGCTTCATCTGTATGGTAGCTTATTCAAAATGCTTTTGGACAATTTCAAAAGCTCAGATTAATCTTATTTGTGTTCAGGTATGAGATGGAAAAGCATCAAAGTATATGGAATGTATCGAAATGCACCATTAAACACTGGATATCAAATAAATAATGCATTTATGTTAATGTAAAAGAAAAATTGAGTAAATGAAAGCAGCCAGGAGCTTTAATGATTAGAGAGATGTGGCCTCCAAAATGTTTTTAGGCTTTTTAGTGTAAGTAAATGCCACATAAAATCCTTAGATTAGTAACTGGCACGAGAACTGCCCTTTTATTTGCTGTACTTGTCCCATTACAACAGTTGGCCCGTGGATAATATGCCATAGGGATGGATGAGGCACTAATGAATTAAATAAACTATATTGCTTACTGGTAAATTAGCACCAGTTTTTGTTAAATTACATATCCAGCAAAATTTTTTATTTTTTTTATTCTTTCCATTTACTTGTGAACATAAAAATATGTATTATAATTACATACGGAAGATGTAGTATTATAATTACATTAAAACAAACATTTTTTTAAACATCCTAATTTGAAAGCACTTTTTTTAAACTATGGGACATTTGGTGTCTCTGAAAAGTCCAGGATGTCCTCCTTGAGATACACTAAGATTACAAACAAAATGCCCTTTACAGAGGACAAAATGAATGACAGGGTCTCGGAAAGTTATTCAAGTCAGGCATAACAATACATATGAGTGTGTCTGTTTACTGTATCCTCAGCCTGGCCACTGCACTGAGTCAGTTCTGTTGTTGGATGTCCTCCAGTCTCCTGCTATGGGAAAGGCAAGGTGATTTCTGGAGGCTATGACAGATAGAAAGGGCAGCCAAAGTCCTCAGGTTGGCCTGGTGGGGGCCCTCGCTTTTCTCTCAGTTCACACATCACACAGTGTTTGAGGACAAAGGGTCTGGAGCCCAGTGGCCATACATGTAATAAGTGCAGGAGTTAAGGATGCACCAGACAAGCTTGTTGAATGCAGGATAGATAAAATGTCAAGCTTGCATGCATTTCCCTCACCCTGATGTTTTATTTGGGCTTGTTTTATACAGTATATGGGTCATTCCTACAGTGCAGTACATTTTAATGTGAAACATGTCTTATTATTAAAAAGAATACCTCATTTGTTTTAAAGATCATATTATCATATTATTTATTTTAACACAATATAACAACTATTTAACCCTGTAGAACCTGACATAATCAGTGTAGCCTGAAATCATATTTTGTTGTTTAGTTTATTGTAGTTTATTATCTTAAAAAACATTAAGCATAAATAGTGTTTAATGTTTTGTAATGTATCTGATATATAAGGCTTTTATGGCTCATATAGTATGATATGGTGAGAATATGGAGCTCATACTTGAAGAGGGGAAAAAACACCACAGTTTTATTCAGACGCTCTCCAAAAATATGCAGTTTGGTATTTGGATATTTATATGGCCAGATAGAATGAAATTATGATGGCTTATGATGTAAATGAATGAGATTTGTTTAACACTTTAACAGATTACTTACATAAAATGCATATAAATATCTGTTGTCACTTTATGACTATTAAATGCTTAGTTTTATTTTCAAAGCTCTTTAGTTTTTATTTTGGGAGGCAAAACATAATAAAGAACAATACAATGATTGAGAGATGAACAAACAAATCTTCCTCAAAAGCCTGATGGATCATATTTGATATTCACATTTTATTACACACACACACACACACACACACACACACACACACACACACAGTAGGCTTTATGGCTAAATAATAAATAATTTCAGCACTTTTTTGTTTAAAAATGTGTTTTATTTTGTAGCATTGTTTCATAGATAATCAATATCACTATTTAATATAATTTTCTATTCTGTTAGCATTTTGTAATATCACTTTGCCTAGCAAAAGCCAGTTTCCCAATGACATCATCATCCAGGAAGTGACATCATTTTTATTGAGGAAGCAACAGTATAGGTGTGCTTTTCACCTCCTGCTTGGATTTATTGAATATTCAGCTTGTAAATTTGAGACCAAACAACTCTTGACTGCAGGTGCCATTTGATGTCATTTCCAAGATGGCGGCAACCTAATGAAATTGTCTATAGGTGAGTGGAGCCATCTTGTTTTGTTTACATTTGTCTATAATGATGATTGACTAGAATACTAGAATGCTTTTTGGTTTGAAATGGGAAAATTTTACTCAAGTATTCCCACATTCAACTTAAGTTAGCATGTAACATAAGTGTTTAGCAGTGGATTTGATGAATTGTGTGATGTTTTGTAGTTTTAGATTTGTTTTGTCACTCCATCCTGTAATCCATAATAATCCATCCTGTTTGATAAATTACAGAAATCGATATGATAGTATCAAAATATGGTTATCAAAATTACCAAATCAAAAGATGACCTCTAAGCTAACATCCTGCTATTTTCATGACATTGTGTATATAATCAAGTTATAATTCATCAAATTTGAGTGTAGGAAGCTTGACTAAAGGCTATTTTCTATAATCTTTTATCATTTCTGTAATTTCTGCACCACTAATGGCACCAAATGCAATTGTATTCTTCTCGTTGGGTTTCAGACTATTTGTTCGTCTGGGGTTAGAGAAAGTTTTTTTTTTTCATTTTAGTTTTCACTATAGTGGCACAAAAATGACATGCTTCACCTTTAACTTACAAGTACATTCATTCGTTTAAAAGTTAATCAGCCCAAAAAGTATGGCATAAATGAATAAAACCATACAGTGTTTTGTAAAGAAATAAGTGCCATAATTTCATTGACAACAGCACTGAGGCATTTCATTTAATGCAATCTTTAGGTCTTGCAGTTCAATTAAATAGTGTTTGTGACCCCTAGCTTCTTTTTAAGCATGAGTAAGAAGCTGGCTTTTAGAGTTGCTTTTTCATTCAGTGCCTTTCAAAGACAGGTTTATGTTCGGGCGATCTCTTACAGTCCCAGGTGACTGTTGATGAATGACACATGAACTGGGAGAGTTGAGCACAGGCTCAAAAGAGAACGTTTCATTTGACACAGCCCATCGATTTTCTCCTAGTTCACCATACTAGGTTAATTACCATTCCCCACTCGATAAAACACCTATTCTAAATGTTGCTAATAGACCGTAAGTGTTCACTGGTTGCGTGATTGATCACTGATTTTTTTGTTCTTCGGAAATAAAGTGATAAGACAGGGTCAAGACATTGCATGCTTGAATGCACCGTATGCTGATCAAACCTTATAGTCGATACAGTGCTGCAATTGGCTGTCTGTCAGCGTTTGGGTCAATAATTCGCTTTTAATGGGTTGCGTGTCCTTGGCTATATAGATTACATATCGGTTACTTCTGTAGTGAAGTGTTTTTTGACCACCTAAGGATTCAATCTCTACCATGTTTTTGAGCTTATGGATCTCCTGCTGATTCAATGTTTGTAATGTGTGTTGAGTATATGGATCACCTACTGATACAATGTCATTTCTGTTGCTACTGTTCCTTCTGAAGGTAATTTATAGTAGCCCTACTATTTAGAGTTGACCTACAACAGCTAATCAGTAATAGTCAATAATACAAGTAAAAGACAATGAATTTTATTATTTATTATTCAAGTCTTTGCACTGTTGACTTGCACCACATGACTTTGATTTGACAGACATATTATTAAATATTACTAAGCAGTGAAACGGGTTCATTTTTTTCTTCTAAGATTTTTTATTTTTTTTTACTTTAGCAATTTAACTTCTAAATGAGGCATTTCTTTTCTTAATTATGATATCAGGACAGTTATATTATTATGATTATACATGATGTACTATATGGTATCAAAAATATCAAATAAAATATAAAAACTTAAAATATGTATATTCAAGTCATTTATTTTTTTTTAATGAGACTTAATAATTGATATTAGGACAGTTTTTTTGACTTTGTTTGACTTTGTGGCCTACAAATATCAAAAGTAATTTTAATTCAGAAAAGGGGTGAAAACACAAAAGAGGTATATTCAAGTCATTTATTTATTAGTTTTTATGAGACTTTTTTATTTAATTATGGTATTAGGACAGTTGTGTCATCGTGACATTTTGACTTTATGGCCTAAAAATATTTTAAAAATTACTTTTAATTCAGAGAAAAAAATAAAAAAATAAAATAGGTATATTCAAGTCATTTAACTTTTTTAATTAAACATTTTCTCTTAATTATGATATCAGGACAGTTGAATTATCCTGACATATTTGACTTTGTGGCCTAAAAATATCAATATTAATTTGAATTAAAAAAATATATTAAAAAAAACACCATGAAAGAGGTATATCATTTAATTTTATCAATGAGTCTCTTTTTTTCTTAGTTATGATATCAGGACAGACCTGTCATCCTGATATATTACTTTGTGGACGAAATTTTTTATTTATTAATTTGAAATGAGAAAAAAATAGATAAAATAAAAGAGGTATATTCAAGTCATCTAACTTTTTTTATTAAACTTTTTTTTTCTCATAATTAATTATGATATCAGGACAGTTGTATCATCTTGACATTTTTTAATTTATGTCTCAGTTACATTTGGGCTGCACGATTAATCGAATGCAAAAGTCATGCGCATCTTGTCAGTAAAGCCAGTTCTGTGATTAGTATTAAATTTCCATCACGTGCTTTCAGATGGAGCAGCATTTAATACACAGAGCCGTAGTTCACTGACAAGCTACGCAATATCGCATTCATTATTGCAGACTATTTAATTGTGCGATAATGAGATCGAAGATATCGTTCTGCGACAATGACTGTTTGCGTAGCTTCTCAGTGAACTACGGCTCTGTGTAGTAAATGCTGCTCCATCTGAAAGCATGTGAAAATACCACATATAATAACATGTTTTTACTCCAAACTCACTTCATGACGTCAGTCGAGTGTTTGAAATAAATCCTTCTGTGAGATGATGTGGCTTCTTACACAGAATAAGGCACGCAACATATTTCATAGCATTTAAGCAGTGATAAAGGCATTGCATTATAAATATACTTTATTTTAATGAAAATGATAATAATAAGAACTCAGATAAACCGTATATTGCCGTAGTCGTGTGTTTATTAGTCACGTTGAATCAATAAAAGCAGTTAAATCTTCTGTTTATCCAGCTACCGCTATAGGCATTTCCTGGGTTTCTTCTGCGAGGCGTATTTGGAGTGTCAGCGCGAGAGTGCCCTCAATGAAAGCAGTTAAATCTTCTGTTTATTCAGCTACCGCTATAGGGATCTCTTGGATTTCTTCTGCGGGGCATATTTGGAGTTTCCTGGCCTTCGGATGGAGATTTACTACTGATCACAGAACCGTGCTTCACTGAAAGATACACATGATAATCGCAGCTTCTGCCTTATCGCGATTTCATTCCAATTGATCGTGCAGCCCTAATTTAAATTTAGAAATGAAAAGGTAATTTTGACAAAAGTCATTGTAGGTATGAATTGATTTTTTTTTTTATTGTATTTTTTAATAAATTAATAGAGTCAGGTCAAGTGAGGGGTTAAATGTCACTCGTTGTTAGACCTTCAAATATTTAATAGAGCATGCACATCAAAATTGTTAGCTGCAGCCCTACCAAACTGTCAGCCTATTTGTTGCATATCTGGTGCCGTGACCCGGATGAAATAACCTTACCTGCAGAGCGGATCTGAACGGCAGGCCCTCCTTAGCTCAAGGCAGTTTGATTTTGTCTTCTCCTCAAAAGAACACGCAGGCATGATGGTTTGCCGGCGACGTTCGGCACACGCTTTATCCCGACAGGAGCAGAAGAGCAGCGGGTAGCTGAATTCCGTTTGCACGCGGTCGAAGAACTGCCGCAGACCCCTGTGACAGCGCTTTCGGTTGCAGGGTTCCTGCGCTTGCTGAATGGGAGTTGCGGGGCTGCAGGTGGCCATGAGTGCAGTACGCTGTTTCTTGCAGGTGTCGTTGAGGTTGCAGGCTTTTGCTGCATCCAGGCATGGATTGCAGGGCTTGCCCGTGTCAGAACACAGATTCCCTTTTGCAGAAGCGGAGTCCATGGCTGTGGGCACAGATAGAGGAGAGCAGTGAGGGTCAGCATGCTTGGTTAAACAGAGACAAGTCAGATTCGAGTGAAAATACGTATTTAGATGTGTCTACTCAGGCACACAGGCGACGCACTGTCAGGTTGCTTCAGCTTTTGAGCCTGCAAATGTCAATGCACATGTATTCCTCTAATAAAGGCATTTTGCAATACTCGTACATGAAAATAATCAAGACAAGCACATTTATCAAATATTACCCTGGCTGTGCATGCGTCCTCCAAATTAGCCTCTATTCACATCTCCGCTTGAAAACCATGACATATTATGACTTTTCTGACTTTTTGATAGGAGCTAACATGATCTCTAATAGCGTTTTTCATTTCAACATGCACAGGCGGCTTCATGCTAGTCAAGCTTTTGTCCTTTGAAGCATGTTTAATTAGATTTTGCCCAATGAGAACTGCTGGATAAGCCATTGTTAGAAATCTTGGGTGGTTCAGTGTGAAATAGCTCTTGCTTGTCATTTAGAAGATAGTCTCAGTCTTTTCTGAGTTGAAATTCTTACTGAGATGGCTTTGTCATTGTCATGCTCCAGGCTGAGACTGGTCACACTAGCATGATTTTGTGAATATTTAATTATCTACTTTTGGAAACACTCTAAGGCAGTGGTTCTCAACCCGCAGCCCGTCACGAATTCAAATGCGGCCCACCATGCTGAACACAATTTAAAAAATAACTTTTTTACGTTTTACAATTCATTTTAGTTTTTACATTAATTTAAAAATGTACTAAACAAATATAAACTCTAATGTTTTTATGTAAAATTATTTTGTTTTTCATATATTATTTTCAGACATGAGCAGACCTGTACTCACGTAGGCTAATTAACGTTACGCTAGGGCTGTGCAAAAAATCGAATGCAATTTTCATGCGCATCTCATCAGTAAAGGCGCTCCTGTGATTAGTAGTAAATCTCCAGCACGTGCGTTCAGATGGAGCGGCATTTACTACACAGAGCCATAGTTCACTGACAAGCTACACAAAATCGCGTTCAAAATCGGCAATGAATCACCTGCGATTTGAAAGCGCTCACTTTGGCAGAAGTCAATTCAAATAGTCATCAGCAGCCATTAGTTTGGTAAAATTGAGCATCAGAATGGACAAATTTGTTATTAAGGGAGAAAAACTAAATGTGGAAAATGCCAGCGAAGGAACACATACAAACAAGAATAGTCGCAGTATCAGCAGTGAAGGTAGGAGAGTGCTGGACTTTCGGTTTGCCCCGCCACTCACTTGAAGATGTTCAGGCAAAAGGAAACACCCTTACTATGCAGCAATCATCCTTAATTGCTGAAATGTGGCAAAAGAGCTCTGGAGAGAACCTCAGATTATTAAATTCGAAAGTGCTTTCCATATGTGGATCAACATAGGCTACATTTGTGAATGCACATTTTCTGTCAGGACCAATATCGTCAAAGATGATTGACAATTAGCATACAGTTTTGATTGGCGGTATGGTTCTGTTCTGGGCAAGAACTCCCTGCGCATCCATGCAGCCTAACATGGATGAGAGCAATGTCGCGCGTCAAGCCACACTTCCGTGCGCGTCTTACAGACTAGTTTAGTTTAGAGCTTTATTAATCCCCTTGGGGCAATTAATTCAGACTTTCGTGGTGCTTCACATATACAACACTTAACACACACATACATATATTTAAAATACACCAAATACATAAAAAGGGGGAAACAAATAAAAAAATAAAAATAAATAAATTTCATTAATTAAATAAATCTACAACTTACAATCGATCTTTACTTAATATCCTAATGATTTTTGGCATAAAAGAAAAATCACTAATTTTGACCCATACAAAGTATTTTTGGCTATTGCTACAAATATACCCCAGCGACTTAAGACTGGTTTTGTGGTCCAGGGTCACATATGTAAATGATATGCGTGCGGCCCGTGAGACTTGCACTTGGACCATAGTGCGGCCCAGTGGACAAAAAGGTTGAGAACCACTGCTCTAAGGGTTGTTAAAGCAATATTTACCCAGTGATATTTAACTTTTTATGTTAGTCATTTTGGTTTAGATATTTGTGAATGCTCTTTTACATTCAAGTCTGTCCATTAGTGGAGCTGGATGCATCTTTCAAAAAAATTAATGTGGATGAATTTCGCTTAACATTCCTGGAACTTGCATTTTTGTGTCTATTCTTTTTAGTGAATCAATATAGTATAACCAATGTGGTCCGATTCATGAATGAATTAATCTTTAGAGCGAGTTAAGACTGGTTTTGTGGTCCAGGGTCACATATGTAAATGATATGCGTGCGGCCCGTGAGACTTGCACTTGGACCATAGTGCGGCCCAGTGGACAAAAAGGTTGAGAACCACTGCTCTAAGGGTTGTTAAAGCAATATTTACCCAGTGATATTTAACTTTTTATGTTAGTCATTTTGGTTTAGATATTTGTGAATGCTCTTTTACATTCAAGTCTGTCCATTAGTGGAGCTGGATGCATCTTTCAAAAAAATTAATGTGGATGAATTTCGCTTAACATTCCTGGAACTTGCATTTTTGTGTCTATTCTTTTTAGTGAATCAATATAGTATAACCAATGTGGTCCGATTCATGAATGAATTAATCTTTAGAAACTTTTCTTCTTGGGGGCTCAAAAACATGTAGTGCAATTAGTGTAGTAGTCTGATTCCTGAACGTGACAGTGCACAGCAAAATCCCCAGAGTTAAATCAACTCTGCTCAGAGTTCAGTAAAGTAACACTGAAGCCGAGTTGAAGTCAATGGGATAATTAAGCAATTAATTAATTGATGAGTGAGCATTAGTAAAGAAAACCCGCTGTTAACAATGTTGAAGATGAACAACAACAGCTCAGGCTTTTAGACATGAAAACATATCACATAATCCTCAACAGTGGTAACTCTGCTTCAGTGTTACTTTAACACTCTGTAGATTGGGACAATATGTACTCTGAGCAGAGTTGATTTAACTCTGGGGATTTTGCTGTGTGTAAATTAACTAATCACCCTTATGAGTTGATTCTTTTTGGTGAATCTATTGCATAAATTGTGACCATGTTTTAGTCTGATTCCCAAAAAAATTAACACGTTAATTTTGGTGATTCAAAAACATGCAGTCATTGTAGTGATATTCCTGACAGATGGCTCTTAAGATCAGTGTTATCAGTGTAGTCTGATTTCTGAACAAATTATTCTTAATAAGATCTGGTTCATTTTAGTGAATCAAAAACATGCTGCATATCCTATGTATGAGCCAAAAGAAAGAAATCTATTTTGGTAGAAAAATATTTTTGTATGTATACTGTAATGAAGCAATCACGTAATGTTGCTGTTGAACAGCAAAACACATGGGAAATATTGTTGGGCCAAATACAACGTTTTTGCCTGTGTGGGGTCTGGCAGCGAAGACATGGCCCTTGGAGGCCCCCTTTATCTGTAATGTGTCAAGGTTCTGATTTATTCTAACCAGTGTGTGCTTTTTAAGGAGTCTTAACATCCCACCCCAAAGGAACACTGGCCAACATTTCCAAAACTCATTATCTCATTTTGCATCTTCAAATACGCTGCTAAAACTCACAGTTTGCAAAGGGCAAAACTGTTCAAGTGGAAAAAAAGGAAAAGCTCTCAAGTCCTGCCAGAAGTGATAAATATTATTTGCATATAGGAACGCAATGGCCAATTAGCACTACGCCAGAGCTACCTTGTTATCTCTCTGACAGACAAGGTTTTTACAGTATCCCTGGCTCAAAGCGCTTCCTTACTGCGCGCTCGCACATGTTTTATTAAAGCTGAGGGAATCAGGCAGGGGCTTCAAAACAGATCTCATTGAGGCCTCGCTTCTCACAAGGTCATGTAAGTGGAAAGTGTACCTGTCCGCTGATTGCCTCACTAGCAAAAACATCCCTGCTCTCTTGCCAGACAACAGCTCCTCACCCCTCTTTCCCAATGACTTATGACGCAAACACAATCTCACTTCTTCTTCAGAAACCCATAGAAGTCCTTAGACAAGGACTGTGTTCATCAAACAGCCTGCTCTTAATGGAATTGATAAAAACAAATAAACTTTAAATGCCATGTTTTGGAATCATAGCTCAAATATGTATGCTCTTATATGCTAAATCAAAATAATCAAGTACAAATTAAGGCTGGGGGAAATATCCATAAGCCCTTGTGCTTTAATAATTTAATTATGTATGTTTGGTCAAAGCATGGTAGCTTAAGGGTGCATGAAGTAATGCACGTTTGAGTTCTCTTCAGTACTGCTAATGTTGTTGGTATTCGTTTTTCTTGCCGTTTCAAAGAGCAGTTTTATGTGAATTACTGGGGAGAAAATACCCAATAATTTCAAACGGTGCAGTATATATTGATACCATATTGGTTATTGGGCAATATTAGAATTTATTTTATTTTATTATTAATGTTTTTTAATGAATGCAGTTTTTACAATACACTGTATTGTATTCAAAAGTTTAGGATTGGTTAATATCTTATGTCCAGTATTAATTTGATCAAAAATACAGTAAAAACAGTAATGTTGTGAAATAATGCTACAATTTTAATTAACTATTTTCTATTTGAATATATTTTAAAATGTCACTTATTCCTGTGATTTTCAGCAGCCGTCACTCAGGTATTCAGCAGGAATGTTATGAAATGCTAGCAATATTAATAACAATGTCCCCAAAATTCAAGATATGATTGGCCCTGTATGAGTTATTGTTTTTGTTTATAACATATTTAAGCAATATCACACAATTAAGAGTGCTATTTTACAGAATATCAGCATGACTGCAAATGTGATATTTATTATAATTAATTATTATAATTTGACCATTTTTAGACACACAATATTGTCAATTTTGACTGTTTTTGCTCTTTCGCCAACACAACCATTCCAGTCAAAGCAGAACAGTTGCAACACAGAGTGGTGTTTCATTCTTAATTGATTCAACATTTATGAATGAATCGGGTAAATTAATAATTCAGTGACCCATTTATAAAGTCACTTGGATTGTACAGGAATAAATCAGCCAGTTTGAACAAACTGTTTGAATGAATGAATGATATATGATTCATTTATTTATATTTTCTGTCACCTTATGGCAGTTTTAGTTTCATATATAATAGTATAATTTATATTTTTCCCATTTTTCATATTTTTATATTCAAAATTAATGTAATTACATTATTTGTGACCCTGGACCACAAAACCAGTCATAAGTTGCACAGATATATTTGTAGCAATAGACAAAAATACATTGTATGGGTCAAAATTATCCATTTTTCTTTTATGCTAAAAATTATTAGGATAGTAAGAAAAGATCATGTTCCATGAAGATATTTTGTAAATATCCTACCGTAAATATATCAAAACTTATTTTTGTATTAGTAAAATGCTGTAGCGAATCAGCTCATAGGGGGAATATGCATAATTAATCATAACTAGTTTTAATTAATTATAAATATTTAGATCCGCTGTAAGTATTTACTTGACCTCTCAGGGTCAACTGTCTGTCAATTCTAAGAACGTTAATTTCCTGGTTAAGGGAAATAACTTTCTTACTGTACAATACTACACAGAGCATGTAGCAAAAATCTGCATGATTAGGGACTGCGATTATGAGCAAACAATGAACAACCTCAGGTGTGATACAAGTAAGACTTTATTAAATACATAAACACTTAAACTAGTCTAACATACACACACACCACTTAAACTGGTCTAACATACACATAAACACTTAAACTGGTCTAACATACACATACACACACACACACACACGCATACAGTTGGTATAGGAA